ACCTGGAGATTTGATAGTGGTTCCATATAAGTAGTCATGGTTGAAGTATCACGTGGAAGTGTGAGAAGAAAGACACATGGGCTCAGTAAGACAGTGAGATGGTGTTGATTATATACATGTATGTACAGAAGAAAATGGGACCTCAGGGGTCGAAAAATGCCTATAGACAAGAAGTCCTCTTGGGAATTTGAAAAGGTTAACTGCATGTGTCCAAGCATTTAGCCAACAAGGAGCTATGGGACCTTTGATGTAGGGTGGGCATGCAGTTCGAACACGCCAAAGATGTATGTATCAGATTCATGCAGAAAGGCACTGGGAATACCACTCGTTGGTCTTGACACACTGGAAGCCGGAAACGCACGCTGTTGCGCCCGTGTAACCAGAACCACCGCACTGAGCCCAAGCGCCAACGGTTGCTCCAGAGTTAGCTGGTTGAGTCGGGACGGCGGCGGCAGTGGTGGCGGCAGCGGCAGCGGGAGCAGAGCTCGGTGCCTTGGCGGTGGGCTTGGCGGACGCAGTGCTCGCGGGGGCAGCAGAGCCGGAGGAACCAGAGCTCGAGGTGCCGGACTGCCATCCACGTTCGCGGGAGAGCTCGTACCACCAGTTGCGGAGCATCCATCCGTCGAAGTCGGTGATCTGAGCGGCAGATCCAGCGAGCATAATGAAGCTGGTGACACCCGTCGGGGTCCAGTCTATATTAGGGTCAGCATTGACACGGACGATCGTGTGTATGTTATGGTCTCATGTCGGCAAGCTGAGTTGTATGTGTCATCACGTACCGTAGACTGGAAAAAGAGGTTTGTCAGCAAAGTACTTGCAAGGAAAGTCATGGCAAATAATCAAACTCACAGTCATCAAGGCCATAGGTGTGTCCAATTTCGTGCTGGAGGATGTGGGCACTGGCAGAGTCAAGGGCGCCCATGAAGTACTCGCGACCAATACGCTGACCCCAGTCGCCGCCAGCACCACCGTTCATGCCATCGGTGAGCCAGAGAGACTGGTCGTAGTGCCGGTCAGCACCAGCCGCGCACTTGCTGTAGTCGCCGTTCTGGTTGAAGAAACGACCGCAAGACTCAGCGCACTGGGGGATCCCTTCGGCGTCCTTGTCAGTGTAGACCTGGATGCCAGATGTAGAACCCTGAAGAAGGCCTTTGTCACGAACGGCCCAACCGACAACGTTGACCTTAATGTCGGTGTAGGGGAAGTTATCATAGCCATAAAGCCACTTGTACCAGCCTTGGTGGGCAGTGTTGAGGGCCTTGGCGACTTGAGTGCGCTGAGCCTCTGTGACAGAAGCACTCGATTCCCAGCGGACACAAACGTTGATGGTGCCCTTGGTGGCGATGACTTGGTCCCAACCGTAGTTCTTGAAGCCGAAGAAATTAGAGTAGGTGCTCTTGCAGTGATCCCAGACCTCTTTGAGGGGAGTGACGATGTTGGAGGGAGGGCTCCAGCCGGATTGTCTCTTGATAGGACGGTTACGGGGCATATCCTCAAAAGTTCGGGCCTGAACGGGAGCGAGGGCCTGCCACACAGATCCGTCAAGGTCGGAAGTAGTTGTGATATTCATAGCTTGGGAAGAGGCCGCAAGCGCCACAACGGCGGTAGATGTGGTAGAGAAGCGCATGGCGATGGATGAGAAAGAGAGAAAGTTGACAATGTACTAAGAGAAAGAAGCGAATTTGGATCAAGAACGAATGACAAGACAATGAAGTTGGTACCAAGGACCTTGTGAAGCTGAAAATGGATGGACATAGGAGGAAAGTTTAGACGGGAAGCATCCGAAGATATACACAAACATCAACACCGAACTCCGTTAGTAAGTCATCATCGTATCAATCCAACCGAGAATTCCAAGACTCCACCTATTTACTGAGAATGTCGAATTGATTGCTAATTCGTGTATCTGCCGTGTTGGCGGGCATGGCCAAGACTTTCAACGTTCCCATTTGCTTTTCTTTGTGTCCTCGGAGCATTAAGGCCTCCGTACTCAGAATCAAATGCGGTTTTTCGCCTAAATTCATTGGCGGGAGAATAAGTCAGCGGGGACTGAGTGACGATGGAAGATTAAGGACCGCTTCAAGGGTGGCGTTGGGTGTCCAAGTTGGGGAACAAATCCTACGGTGTAAAGAGGGGCTTACTGGAAGTCCTTCCTTTCTCGAATGGCTGGCCGGAGATAAATAGCGCCAAGCCTGAGTGAGCAATTCTGGTGTGACATGCGGGTTCTGAATAGAGCACACAAGACTTGAGAAATCCGGGGAAGGGCAAACATGCATGAGGTGCCAAGGGGACGTTCAGTATCCATAAAAGGCTGAGGTATCTGCCGTGAGGTGTTGTTGGCATAATTTGAAGGGCTCAAGACTAGCTCGTGGACGGTTTTGTGTTACATTTACCCGCGGATCTTGGGGTCGTCCAAACTGTCCCCAAGATCCGATGTTTACACTAACGGGCACAGAGGATGTTCTGTGTTTTCGGGTCGATCATCCGACCAAGAAAACAGACGACTGCCAGGACTCAGCTGTCTGGACTCCAATTAGAGGGGAGAAGGGCAGAAAAGCAGTCCATAGACGACTCAGAAGGGGCGGAGAGCAGTTTCAACCCCATCGAAAACGAGTAATGGTGAAACAGATGATTAGAATTTGCGGGACTGACATCCACAAACCTGGTAGTTCCCTGGTCATTGCTTTTTAGTCACGTTACATAAACCAAGCATGCCGGCATGGAGTCCCATCTTGGCAGCTCCATGGCCGAATTTGGATGGAACTCGGCGGTCGAGCGATTCCAGGCTCTTGGCGTCAACATGGTTTCCTCTTCATTGCACGATCAGCTTGGCCCAAGCAGACCAAGACTTACTATCAACGCCCATTCGTACATGTACATTATTTCGCTCTCTATGCCCAGTTGTGGTAGTAATATCCATCGGAAACGTTGCAATGTATTTGTAAGATTTTGGAAAAGTGGATGGCCTCTGCGATATAGGTTCCGACGCACGAATTGATGCTGATAATCGTCTTTGTACTTGATAGGGATGACTTTGTGCGTAACTCTCGGAATTCCCAGCACCATCGGCATCTTAGCTGGGTTGGAAAAACAGATTGAACGATCTTGATGCTCTGCAGCCATGCAGCAGTAGTAGTAGTCAATCAGCCTCATGAACTCTATTCCGTCCGACGTCCATTAGGTAGTTGGAAATCCACGTGTGGTCTTACAATTAAGCATAATGCTTGACATTTTCCCGACCAGACTTCCACGCATCAGCTCTCGTTAAAGTTAGGCTTCTCCATTGAATCCGGAATCCGAATGCCCCACATCGACTGCATTTAATCTACACTAGTGTACTCCGTAATAATGATCAAACTCGAAAGTCAAGGGGTTTCCCCTTTTGAGGGCGGGAATCATTGCCTCTGTACCAATCACAATTGCACGTAAACGGAAACTCCCCGGGCTTAGAGGCGGGGATTCTTGAAAGGATACGAGATGCATGGGTCGAGACCCGGGAAAACCTCAATGGAATACGGATACATTTCCCGTGTATTATCTCCAGCACCCCGTCTCGACCTTTTAAGAGTAAACGAAGGAAATTGATCACTTTCATCGGAGCAAGACAATGCCATCAATGCATGACCTGAGTCTTCTGAATCTTCTTAAAGACGTTAGAGACTCCGGCATTTTCTCCTGATTGCCTGCTTAAGTAAGCTGCTGCAAGGAATTCAGCCATCCGCGCTGTCGATACAATAGCCAGATTGCAAAGCCACGGACGCACCGGACACTAGATGGGAACAACTGCACCCGTGAGGTTTTCCATGTGCAAGGGTCGATGGAATCAGTGCAATCGGTGATGGTCTACTCAAAGCTAGTCACAATGAGTAGTGTCCAACCTCAACCGTGCATCCCAGTCCACGCTTGCTACAAGCCTATATAGATATCCTCATTCTGTTGATACTGACTACTGCGCAGCGTCGGCTGACAAAATTAGTCAATAAGGGTATGCTACGGCCCAATCAAGAATCTGCAGAGGGCCTGAACCGATTAGGTGACGATAACTTCGACCTAACAGAGACTTCTCCCGTTGTTGCGTGCAGAGCGGCAAACAGGTCCTAAACGCGGTTGGTTTCGAGGTGGCTGCGAGTGTTTCCGACTGAGCTGAGTCAAGTCCTGGCATCAGGCACGAAAGGAGAGGAGCAGAGTTACGAACAAGGCATAAGCTTCGAAGTGCCTTCGGTTGATAGCGCTTGATCGACTCTTCTTTCTCGGCTCACACAAAATTCGGCGACTTGTAAAGTTCAATTACTGTCGCAATCGACGCTCGGTCGTTGTGTCAAGGGCAGTTTTCCTGTTCTCGCGATTCCTGGCAATTCTCGATTGCCATTCACGATGAGGAGTGAACACGATAAGGGTTCCAGTTGGCTGCGACGTCGGTGACGGGGATGCGGTTTCGTCATTGTTCTCATTTTGTGCCTAAAATGTCTCCTGTGCATCATCTCATGACATGCCGTCCGATTCTTGCAGGGAAACCCCAATAACTTGCAAGGTATGTCGATCTTATAGTCCAATCATGTTGATGATCTTGTGATTGATGTGCCATATGCTTGGTTCTTCAAGGTCCAACCTCAAACACTCCCGTCTGATTTTAAACCATCCGAAGAGCCGGAGGCACTATGTTGATCGCCATTTGCCTCAGAATAAGGTAGACTGAGCTTCCATCGTCTTCCAATTAATGAGTCACGATATGACTACATATTACAAAAGAGATTGATTCGTCGAATACTGCCAGAGTGATGTGGTTCTAATTACCCTAATATCTTTATTCTCATCATTGAGTTGAACTCAGTTTGTTCTCAAGGTTCTGTGAACCCCGTTTCAACATCATCCGCTCCGCGCAGCAACTCCAGGGACTATCTTTTTTCTCAAGAAGCTGAACCATTTCTACATTTCCACCATCGCTCCAACTCGTTGAAATTTCGGGAAGAAGTGTCAATAATTGTCTAACGACCTGCAACATGCGACCCACCAAGGCTCTTTTTGTACTATTCGGCGCATCCAGCGCATCGGCTGCCACCATTCGGCGACAGGCTGACGGTATTGATTTCGGCAAATGCACGCCAACAATGGATTTTCAACTGGGCCGCACTGGGCGCAAGCCGGATCAAGGCACCTTCTTACCAACTGACCCTCTCGTAGCCAAGGATCAACAAGACGCGCTGAATCCAAACATTATCACGAACCGAATTTGCGATCAGCTCACCAACGTATGTGAGGCGACTCAGGCTGCAAAAGACCAGTGTCAGCAGGCTAAGGCTCAGGTCTCTGCGGCAGGCGTCAAAGATGCTTCTGCTGCGACCATGTTCAACAGTGCCATGGGTTTCTAGGGAGGAAAGCCAATAGTCTGATTACTTCGTTGGGGGTTGCGGGATGAACTGGAAAGTTGTGTTGTATTCTGACCCCCCACTCGCCTACATTTCGAGTCCCAGAGTCAGGTCGAATGGCTCGGCTGAACAGTCCGTAACACATTGTATGCAATTCGGCGCCAGTTCAAATGTTCTAAATGCAGAAGCTTGGGTGCGGATCTCACACAGAGAGAGCGGATGCAAGGGAAAGCACCATTGGACATAGGTGTGACTTGATAAAGGAAACGAATCAAACTATTACCTGCATATACGGTCAAGCCCTCCAAACCCAGGAATCAGTTATCTAAGGCCTCAGTGTGTGAAGATATTGACAAAAGTACAAAGGTAAGTATTTTTCCCTTTCGAGTGTGACTCAGCTTGTTCGAGGACATGGGGTTAATGTTTCGTCCACGAGATCAAAATCTTGGCTCTTTTAAGCCTATGATATTTCTATTAATCAGACGAACCAAGTTTAAGAGGAGCGATCTGCGTTGAAAATGCTATCCTCAAAGATTTCATTTGACAGGATTCTTTGTCCAAGGCGAAGCATCCTACTATTGCCGTAAGTTGAAGTATGGTTAACCGAGGATAAAATGCAGGAAACCCTTACTTATTTATTGGAAAGCGAGGATCATGAAATCTCCCCAAAACAGTAGTGTTCCATTGTTTGTGGTGGTACATGATCTCCAAGCTATTCCATCTGATGCTTTTGCCAAAGGTCATGGGCTCAGTGCTGTGTGGATTTGTGAGGCATGCAGACGTGTACGTTATTTCTGCAGTTGTCGTCGGGGCGTGATGCTAGGACCTTCCACCTAGTACATCAAGGCGAGTCTGGGCGAGTTATCAATTAGCTGCCTGGTCAGAAAATTAGACCAGATAGGAGAGTATCGAAGTGAGGAGAGAGCTTCAAGAGGAGAATGGGAAGGACAACGGTTCCAGAGGACTCACGAGATTTGAGGGCGGTGAATGCACATCAGTGTTGGTGCCATCGTTTTTATCCACCATCCGACATTCATTTCATTGGAAAGCCCCAAGCTGGTCCAGACTGGTGGAAACCCATCAGAAAAGCGCTAGAGACTCATAATTGTTCGGTCGCATTCATTAGAAGTCCGGTGGCTGCCTGGACGGGACATGCTCGTCACCCCGCCAAACCCCGCGCACTTCGTGTGGACCAGACAAAAAGTATTGAACGAGACAACGGACAAAACAGTTCCCGGACTTCTAGCCACGGCGCTAATGCCTTTGCTTGTCGAACTATTACATTCTTCAATGCTCAAACTGTTCATGCCAGATGCTAAGAACATAATTGGAACTGGGACCGTCATGATAAATGATTCACAACACCATACAGGGACGATATGACGAGCAACCCATCGTAGAACGCGACATGATAGGCTTATTTGTTGCTCATGGCTCCGAGAAGGAAGCCGCGGAAGGAGAAGCACTAGACCAGCAGGATCTTCTACGATGCTGTTCTTGATCATGTTTCCTCACATAAAGTAGTATACGCTCACTTGCAGGCCGAAATAGACACAGGCATCATCATCGCCCGCTCCTGATAATTGAGGCAAGAAAGCCTTGGTATCTCTAGGCACTCATTAGGAAAGGCTATAGATTATGGCCGCCCGCGACAGCTTTGCTGCCCAAGGTCTCCGAACAAGACGAGGTGTGTGTGGGATTCACGTTTCCCCAGAAACCAACGTCGTATGGGCACTTTGGACCATTACGAGAAGCAAGAAGGTCCTTGGATAGGACGTAGGTCTTTGGCCTAATCTGGTGAGTTGCTATTCCTGCAGAGAGATGGCGGCTGAGATGTTAGGCCAGCAGGTTACAATGGGGAAGTCGATATGAGTGGTTGAGCAAAACCATCGCCAGAATTGAGTTGAACAAAGTTATTGTTCAGGTGAGTCTGACTAGACCATTCTTCGAGTCTTTCCTGTTCAACTTGACAAGGGCGAGCGCTTTAATTACCAACTGGACTTGGTTTCATCAATCATAGTTGATGTCCTGGAAGTTGGAATTACCCTTCTTGGACCCTACAGACTGTTGGGATTCTTCGGACGTACCATTCTTTATTCAAAGCGACTTGTATGTGAGGGTCGCACGACGACCCTAGATCGCCCAAAGATAAACCTGTTGAGGCTGGTAACATCAGAAAGTGACTTTACCGTTGGGTGCGTTAATGGTCCGAGCAATCAACATTCAAGGATCGCGAGAAGGTATTCCAACGAGTAAGGTTTCAATACTCTTGCAACATGTACTGGAAGAAACCGCACCTGTGGTTTTGGCCCCTGATACACATTCCAGTACCTGTCATCAAGAGGCTTCCACAACGGCCAGTATCTTACTAGCCAGTATTGTTACTTAACAACTGAGCAGAACGTTAGGGGGCTCTTGACTCAAACATCAAGCCAAGGTTTACGCTGTGTCCACCTGCGAGTGTCACATGTCTCTTCATAGGTGCCAGCCGTAACTTTTGGCGCCCTAGGGCGTGAAGTCCATAGATTTTGCGCTTATCAATCTCCACGCGTAAGAGGCTCTCACTTAGGTAAGCAGGGCAAATGGAGAATTTTTGACATGACTGTGCATGCCATCTTTCCTCCCCTTGCACGTCATGCCATGCCGATAGCATGCCGAACTCCCCACGCTCATTGCCCAATGGGACTCACCCCAGACTCATGCCCCAAGTCACCGGTGGCCAGGACGGTGAAGTCGCTTTGACATATCAGGGAGGCCTTATATTCGCACAAGCTATGAATGCTGCCACAGAGCAAGTAACCGTGAATCACCCTCAGCCCAATGCGCTGGACAGACTCGCAAGAAGTCAACCCGCGACAGGCGGAGCTTTCGGGCCGCTCTTTCTGACTGCAGGGTCGGATCTGGACTCCGGATGCGCTCCGCTGGATGATAACCTCCCGACTGGCACCTCTGGCCAGATTTGGCCTTCGATGTTTTCCACGGCTGATAGCGATCCCCAAGAGACACCGATATCCTGAATATGTGATGGAAGCAGTGAGGCGGTGGATCCGAATTATGCGCTTGGCGATATTTCGTGATCTCTGCAGTCTCCGGCTACGACGTCAAACCACATTAACTGGCCGATCCCCTCCAATGATGAGCTTGTTGGCCAAACTGTGTTCAACACCAATAAAGGCCCCCCAAGAAGACGGAGTCGTTATCGATTTGTGCATTCCGAGAAGCAGGCCAATCCAGTACCAATTCCTGTATCTACAAGCGTTGGGGAATTGAGTCCTATGCAGCGGTGGAGGAAGTCTCCCCCGCAAGATGAACCAGCCTCCATCACTGCCATACATGACGCGCTGGAGAATAGTACTGCTCGCCTCGACGTCAGTCGAACACCGAATGTTACTGATTATGCCCGCACTGAATCCAAAGCCAGCTTGGGCAGTGGCGAGAGCAGTTCATCTATACAGTCGGCAAACTCAGTGTGGTCAGCAGCATCAGACACGTCAAGAGGTCGACGGAACGAATCAAGTTTACTTGATCGCACCAGGCGGGGAAGAGTGTTTAAGAAACGCGCAGCCGCCGCTTCCAAGAAAGACGATCGCCCCTTCAAATGCACATTCTGCTGCGATAGCTTCAAGACTAAGTATGATTGGGCTCGGCACGAGAAATCGAGGCACCTTAACCTGGAGTCGTGGATTTGCGCACCGCGGGGAGGTTCGGTCATGTCTACAGTGACTGGCAGACCTCATTGTGCGTACTGCAGCAAGGTAGACCCGTCAGAAGAACATCTTGATGGTCACAACCATAAAGCATGCTACGACCGACCGATAGAAGCACGATCATTTGGAAGGAAAGACCATCTTGTTCAACACCTCCGCATTATGCACAAACTAGACATAATGCCTCGATTCGATGGATGGAAGGCTGAAGCTGTGCGGATCTCTTCTCGATGCGGGTTCTGTGACGTGGAATTCATGACCTGGAACAAACGCGTTGACCATCTCGCCAACCACTTTCGCCATGGTGCAATGATGAAAGACTGGAAGGGAGAACACGGATTCAGTCCAACAACTGCGCAGCAGGTCGCGCATGCCCTGCCTCCCTACCTCATAGGTTCAGAGTCGCTGAGTGTTGTCCCATTTTCAGTCACGAATCAGAGCACCAGAGACCATTTTGCTCAGCTATCGTCTCGTACACTTGAGTCACAACAAGAAAATGGAAAGAAGACCGCTGCAATAGATACTGCGACGTCTTGACTGTCAAAATCAATCCTCAGATCCAGGGCAGCAACGTCAAAAGCTTTCACAGAGATCCTGGAGCAACATTTGAGGCATTTTGTAAAGGAGCACCTCTCTCAAGGGTTCGACATCAGAGACGAAATGCTTAGACAAGAGTCGAGGCGTGTGACTTACGACTGCGACGACGAATGGAATCAGACTGTTGCAGACAATCCCGAATGGCTAGAAAAATTCCGTCAGCGCCATGCTATTGGCTGCGGTGGTGGTGGTGACACTGCCGCCGAGGAAACTCTTGGATCATCAAAAAGCACTTGAGAAAGAATTTGATATTTCGTGTCTCTACAGAAACAATACAAGTATCCCGCGCATTCATCGCTCACTTTCATGCTTGTATGTCTCTGTCAATGATTCTCATGGCGTTTAAACACTCTTCATCATAAAATCGAGGAGCAATGACTTGAAGCGAACACGGGGCGCCGTCGGTTGCTTCTGGATCATCTGTGTTCGGTTTAGCACCAGGCACGAGAAGAACAGCAGAATTAGAACGCACAGTACTTACAGTCCGCTTCAAAATTTGAGGCCGCTTTCTGGTAGTTGGGATCTCTCGTCTTGGAGGATACCCCATATGGTATTATCCCTGCTGGATACTGCCCCCCCACAGTTAGTTGAATTGTTGGCTGCAGAGAGGTGATTGCACTGGCTTACGTCTAATACATTCCACATCAAGGTGTAGACAGGGATGCCATAGGTATCGTGGGGGACCGCGGTGCTGATTGCTCCGGGGCCGACGACAACATCGAGGTGATACTCGATCCAAATGTTCTTCCAGCTGTTGGCATAAGAAGCCTGTAAGCCAAGGAACTCATCCAGTTGGTGTACTGTGTCCAGCTCCGTTGAAATAAGAGGCTTTGAAGTTGTGAAAGGATGAACGCCTCGTTTCACTGAATGTACCAGTGGTTCACCAATCTCACTCGCCAGGGCATCCAGACCGGAAGATCCTAGCCCGAAGTAATGGAATCCCAGCTTTCCACCAACACTGGCACTGCAAGCGGGGTTTGCTGGTAATTTGACGATGCTGTGCCCTGCGCCAGTCAATTTTGAGACTGCGTCTAGAAGCGCTCGTCGAACAGGCGGCTGCAAGGGATATTCCGGATCTTCGGGAAGGATACCGATGGTCAGGGTCTTGTTGCTTCCATAGGAGCTTCTCCAGGGGGCGTTGACTGCAGATGCGTCATAATGCCAAGGCCGACGACCGATCACTGTTTCCATGAACAAACTGAGATCATCAACTGAATTTGCCATCGGCCCAGCGACAGGGGTGACTCCAGGAAGCTGGAGTTTGCGGAAGGGATAGTTAGCTTGCCCTCCAAACGGCGTTCGATCCGCTGTGGGCTTGAAGCCATAAATGCCGCAACAAAGTGAGGGGATCCGGATTGATCCTGCAATATCGGAGCCAACGCCTAATACTGAGCCCCTGAATGCTACAAGAGCTCCCTCACCACCGGTTGAACCGCCGGCGGTAAGAATCGTCTTGTGCGGATTCAAAGTTCGACCGAAAATGTTGTTCTCCGAGTCGGCAGTCTATTTAACTCTCGTCAATATACACTCGACCAAAACTTTTGATCGATGCAGATCAGCAGGTCACGAACCATCATGGTCTGCGGAACGTTCGTTTTACAGAATAGGACGGCTCCAGCGTCCACTAGGAGATCGACCATCGCCGAGTTAGAAGTAGGCAGTGGCCTTTTCAAAAACTCGACATAACCGACAGTAGCGTAATGACCTCTAACGACGAAAGAATCCTAAATTCATCAGTTCTACAGGCCAAACAGGCGGACAAGTTTTCCGGATGGGGATACCTTGAGGCTAATTGGTAGGCCGTGCAGTGGCCCTACGAGCTCTCCAGTACGCTCTAGGTGCTGATCAAGTTCTCGAGCCCTCTTGATTCCTTCATCGAAGAATATTTCAGTTAAGCAAGAAGTCTAGAAGATGTCAGTACATGTGATTCGGCGTTCGGGAGCTCGGCCACAACCTACGGTGACGGAGCGGGATGGAAATGTCCTTACAAGCTGTTGAGCGAGAGCAGCGCGCTTGCAAAACGCCACTGCCACTTCTTCCGATGTGAGTTTCTTGTGATGAATCTTGTCGAGCAACTCTCGCGCGTTGTAGCACTCTGTGATGTCGAGTTCCTTTCCCGTCAATAACGCTGATTTCCGAGCAACATCTTGGGCTATTAGTCGACCTTCTTCGGCAGTTCCTTTGCCTCGAAGCTTGGCTAGCTGATCATTAGAGATTCTCCATTCCTGAGGTATGTTCCGCTGTTGCTCCAACCGATGACGAGAAGCAATCGCTTCCCATTCCATTGCCGCGGGCATTGATACTACGCCTTATAGGTTCAGAAGGTATCGTGGAAGAAAGAGGTTTCATAGGTTGCATGCGCTATTGTTTTGATTTGAATGCGATAGTCGAGTAGACCGAGGGCAAGAGACAGAGGAGGAAACTGGACTGTGTTGTCTTCTTTTCAACCCCAATGCACCTTGATGCTAGAAACGTCGCCGGAATTGCGGACGATGGCACGCATCCCGGGCGGCTTGTTGGCGCGTCCAATGGCCCAATAGGGAAGGAGATGCCGCCAGATCTTGGCTGGCAGAGTTGCCGATGCCGTCGGCTGCCGGGAGTCGAAAGACTGATGCGTACTTAGGCTTATAATTCTGAGGAGTCGGCATCTGCGCTCGGGAGATGGATGGGTGACAGCTCTTTCGACTCTGCAACAATTGCGTAACAAACCCCCTCTTATCAGCCTGCGAATACATTGATTGTGAAGAACTATTTAAAACTCCGCCTCGAGCATTCGGCACATGTCCCAGCACGTCGTGCCAATACCAAAAGCCATTCACAGTTCGACTCTCCATCTACTTACTTCGATCCAGGATACATTCGGCAGGTCGACCCGCGCTCAACTTACATCCTAGTCATGGCACCCGCGAGAAGCTCCGATCATGCCCCCTCCCCCGGAAACGCCTTCTCGCCAAGTGGAGTCGCTGTGCCACCCATGCGCATGCCACATCTGGACTTCATCTATCGTATCGTCTGCGATATGGACCCCAACGTGTCCGAAATTGCAAACGTTGATAACACGGGCGTCACTCGTCTTGTTCTGCCTATCTTGAGCGGGTCAGTCAAAGGCCCTAGGATCACAGGCAAGATTGTGGAGAGAAGTGGTGCAGATTGGGCCGAGCGCATTAGGCCTGACAAGGTTAGCACGGTGTAAACAAGTCACCCATGAAGGGAAGTTCATACGGCTTACCGCTCTCTAGGCGTTCTCAAGGTTGCATGCCATGTATACTCTCCAGACTGATGATGGTGTCTTCATCCTCGTCAACGCCCAGGGTGTTTTCCGCACTGGCCCTGGTCGAACAGACAAATCGCCTCGATCTTCAATCAGTCAGGATGACGTTGAGTATTTCACGCACATTAGGTTTGAAGCACCAGGGGGAAGCCCTTACGACTGGATGAACGCTGTGGTAGCACTCGGGGTAATGACCATGTTTGAGGGGCGCCCTATCATCGACTGCTATCGACTCACAAACTTCCCTGGCGTAGCGGCAGAAAAGCTTTGACCTGGATAGTGTGCAGAATTGTAGATCTGGCCACTAGATGTAGGTATCCAGCAAACAGACAAAGACTTCGACATATCTCATAGCTGCATGTGTAAATGTAGTGAGAAACCAGGTCAACCACGACGAGCCCAGCCAAGTTAAACAATTTAAAACGCAGAAGTATTCTGTAAATACTAGAAAGACGGAATCTGAATTCTTGCCATACTCGGGAGTGGTGCCAAAGTTCTTACATACAAGCAAACCTCTGGTCAGGCTGGCAAAATAAGATACACGTACTCAGCACACTAAATCTGCATGCGCCTCTCCACAAGTCGCAAGTATCGGGGAGCCAGAATGGTGCGAATGCGCTTGCCCCAGATGATCATAGGAACATACAAAAGACCGATGAGAAGAGAGATAACCCCACTCAGAATGTACATATTGGTAAGGCCCATGTTTGACATCCAGGGCACAAGCGCCGAAGGGACACCTACGCTGACAGCATTACGGACAAATGCGACACCAACAAAGGCTTCGGCAGTCAGCTGTGGAACCATATGTTAGTCAAAGTCATTGTATCGAATATTAATGCATTCACCTCTCGATAAGTATCAATAACAAATGTAAAGGTGATGTCTCCATTTGCACCAAGGCCAAATGCGAATAGTGCGCCGCCGATGCTAGGGAAGATCCAATGCATTCCCTAGAGCTGTTAGTTTAACCAGTCGATGGAGCAAAAGAAGACATGTGGCGCAAAGGTGACTTACTCGATCCGCGGTGACTCCAAACATGACAATACCACCAGCCATCGTGATCACGGGTAGAAATAAGGGATACAGTCGCATTTCCGGCTCGAAAACGCCCCCATTCCTCTTAGCCAAGCGCAAAACAGTCCAGTCTGCTAAAGGTCCGCCGTAAATACTGCCGAAAATGTTTCCAACAAAAGGTCCTAGGTTCATATATCCGATTGCTGCAGTATTGAAATTGTAGGGGGGCGCAGAAAAGACGACGGATACAACCGACATGAACAGTACTAGCCAGCAAACACCGGATGCAAACTGAAGAGCAGTGAACATGACGTGTGGAAGAGTAATGACATGAAGTGGCAAGATGAAAACTCGCAGTAAGGATTCCGAGGTTGGTGTCAATAATCGCATGCGTTCGCGGTAAGAATTCAGTGGGACATTCGTAGCGGGATTGGACCGCATGTAGTTCAGCTCCAGACCGCCTTTATCAAGGCTTCTGACTTTTGCCATATCATTCCCGCCAATCGGTGAGTTGTCGTCTGTAAGGTCGCTTTCGCCGAGGCTTATGGGAATATATTTGGTCTCTTCATACAAGAAAACAAACATGAAAAAGAGAACTGTCAGAGAGATAGAGAGGGCGTAGTATGACCAGCGCCATCCCTGAGTCACGGCT